TAATGCGTTTGAGACCGCTTTCATTTTGTGTGTTAGATTTTTTTCTGAATCTTTCTCCTGCCCTATTCTGTTTTCTTATATAGTTGAAAGCTTTAATTAGTTCATGTGATAGCTACGTAGCAATATGAAGCGGTATGGGCCCGCCGATGGGGCACGGTACAAAAAAAAAAAAAAACCTAGGTGATTCGCTCAAATCTAGCGTCTCGTTCGATTGGTTTATGATCAGCACCATTGTATATATAACATGACTAATCGGTGACGAAATCAATAACTGGACATGTTTACCTTTTACACCACCATTAACAATAACAACTCGCAAGGTCCCTAATTGTGCAGTCGCCTTAGACAGCTTGATAAGAAATACACGTTGCTTTTCCTCAGTCGATAAACTTAATTTACCCCCCACCTAAGAGTTTTATGCATCATATGTAGTTCTGCACTACTTGTAAGGTTTTAAGCAATTTAATTCAAGCTTTTGCACCCCACTTTGTCTTGCACTGCATCCATGATTAGTTGGCTGGTCACGGACACGGAGACAATGCAAAGCGATGATGCTATAATGAGGCGACATAATGGCGTCACCAAATTCAGCATCGTTTATGTCATGGTGAAGTCATCACGTGATAATTTTTTGCATTACTCTTACGCAGAGGCGTGCTCGCGGAGGGGGGGGGGGGCAGAAAGTGATCACCTGCATATATTGACAATAGAAAGGGAGTGCTGCAAAACGTGAGTGGTGGGCTTAAAGTCAGCTGCAAATGTTGACATAATAAGTATGGGGGCACACTGCGATGAATCTTCCCACCTTCCTCCCTAAAGGGGAACCGTGTAACCGTGTGTGTATGCCTATGCTCATACATGCTGTCGCTGCCGAGGCGGGACATCGACGCCAATGTTCAATTTGCGTGTTTCATGAAGAATCTAAGGCTCTTGTCTTAAAATATGACGTTTCGTTCAATTTGTCTCCACCGGATAATAGAAACGTGGTCATCTCCTATCTTATTTACAACTTACCCATATATATTAAAGAACTGAGCGCATTTGTAAAACTTGTACAAAAAATATTAGGTATGCAGAGAAACAAGAGACAAATCAAATAAATGAACTTCATGTTACGAGCTAACGTAAGAAAACAAGCATACATGGAGCATTAGTTACTGACGCTGCTTTCGCCATGTGTTAGAAAAATGTATTACTCTGCGAATTTTAACATGAAACTTTAGAGATTTATTTTATATACTCAATGTTTCGGGCTTCATAAATATACATTGCTATCAACAATTAAATAGTTGGAGTTATGAAAATGGATGACCAATAACAAGGGTATATCATTTGCATGTTTTACCTTATTTGAAAATTTTATGCTGATGCAATTCGTCTAGATAAGGACAATCCCGATGCATACATTGATATACCTACATTTAGTTGCTATACCTGCTTGAAATACATTGTTGCACGGAACATTTTTCTCAGGCTAGGGCATGTGGGAAATACGTATTTCCACAATTTCCTAAAGTGATGAAACATCTTTACATCTGTAGTTGCTCGACGTATTTTGTTACAGTAAGCTAATTTGCACAGCAAGAGTGCTGCTGTTTGTATCTTTAGTTTAGCATTTTGTGGATATATTTAAGGCACTTTTCTATATTACGTATTCATTATATAAACATGGAATAAAATGTGTTATTCTGGCACTGGTCTTCTTTTGAATGCCTGAATTGAGAACAAGCTCTACGCATGGCAAACTTTGTTGCTGTGCGCTAGGTCTAAAACGGAACAAGTTAAAAGATATTCTGGTGGTACCGCGGTGTTCTCTTCTAGCTGTTCTCTGTTCTTATATAGTAGTAGTCAAGGCTGGCAAGTTATCTAAAAAAACATGTGTGTGTGGCTGCGAACCAGCGGCGACCGTGACTAAAAAGCCCATTCTTTATTCATTACTTGTATTTCTTGCATGCATGATATTATTACTCGCTTGTCTGTGCAATTCATGTTACTTTATTCTTACCTTTCATGTTATGCGTTTATGTGCACGCACAGCTACCAAATTAGCGTATTTGAACTCCAGCACCAGAACATGACCGCGTTGATGCCGTTTCAAAGGTCAGTTCTTGCGTTCTCTTGCTACCTCAGGCACTTACAAGACTCCTAACGATGGGCAATTGTCATTCCACATCTCAACTAAAGTTGAGCATACTTAAAGTGTCGTGCGTGCAAATACAGCGCAAAAACTACCGTGCGTAACAGACGCCCTTTGCTTTTCACAAGCTTCCGAGCACAGCAAACCCACAAGTGCGGCGCAGCAGCGCCGCGGCGCGGACGTTCACTGCAAAAGCTCTATGTGGGAGCCGGCGCTTTGGACACTCCCCATATTCTAGGTCACTCTACCATGACAGGCTCCCGCTGAACTATATAGCCATTGACGAATATTCTGCGGATCCGTTTAAGGTGGCCATGCCTAGACAAAAGTCTTGAGAGTCGCACTGTTGTGATCCTCTCACGACGAATTCGTGGCCGGTCTCCTGAGTTGCTGGAAAGTTTTCGTAAACTGAGCAACGTTGTTACCTGGCCCGGTACGAAGCGCGACACTTATTGCTATTCTGTGCCTGCCATGTCTGACAGATGGTTGAACCAAGGGTCGGCAAGCCGCCCGGTCTTATGAACTGATTGTCAGTGAGCGTCCGTGGCGCGTACTTGCTGAAAGATTTGCTTTTTGAAAAAACTCAGCCGTGCCCGCATGGCAGACCTGAAGGCCTTTGTCACGGTCTGAAGAGCTTGTGCCAGCGCCCTGCGGCACTGTGGGCAAGCAACAGGACACACCCGGAGCGGTGGACCGCGTTCAGACCCAGCACCGGTATAACCAGAACCCTACAACCGAAGACCCTAAGTTTACTGTCTAGCCGCAGTATGGTTGGCTTCTTTAGGGCCTGTTCTCGTAAAGAAGTCGACTCCGACCAGTCTTTTGCCAGTGTTTCTCTTTTTTTAAGTGTTCATGTGTATTTTATGTTTTTGTGTTTCTTTTGTCTATCAATAAGAGTTCGTATTTATTTTATGTTTTAATGTTTCTTTGGCCAGATATTGAATGTCATTTTTGCTCTGTTTAACATTTCTTCCATGTTTATTTCGTCTACCGGCAAAGAAAGTTGTGACCTCGAACATTAAGCTTATGCATGGAGAGAGGGACAAAAGACGTTTTACCGCTTTGCTCGCGCAGCCGTCGTTGGTGTGTGTGTGCGAGCATGCTACTGTGCGTGTGTAGGTGCGTGCCCAGGAAAGTGCGCGTCGTGGCTTCATACCATTGGCGTACACACTAGGGGTGCTCGGGGCCCTGACATGCTAACGTCACACAGTCCGGCTGTGCTCTGCTCTCCGCCATCGCCGAGAAGCCCTGCTGCCTTTTCCACCATGGCTACTGCGCAAGGCCAGCAGACAGCAGCTATATGCTGCCGGCCAATGCCAGGGCGCCTCGCAGCCAATTCCGGTTCAGCCACCCTGCTCCCTGGAGAGACCTGGCCTCCCAGCGAGGTTCCCCCGTCTTCGTTAAAAATTCGGGGCCTCCAAATCACCACTGAAGCGGCACTTGTAGGACACGCTTACCAATCACCAAGAGCAGCCACGAGCTATCAGAAAGCCCCCTTCCATCCTCTGACCTCGCACTCGGGCACCGCATCCAGCGAACAGTACCACGCTCTTCCGCCCCCCTTGCCATGGACGCTATCCCGCCTTAGCACGACGTACACTAGCCTTATGTCCTTGTGCTCCTTTTCACAAATATTTTTTATAGTGTCATGTGTTTATTTTGTTATTAATTTTTCTCCCTTATCATAATTTTTTAACAACAGTTTAAGGGCTGGACTGAAGTTAGCTGTTTCTTATAGCAGTGTCATTTTAACTACAGAGGTGACATCGGGCTGCCTTTGCAGACCGGTAAAGCGGAAATTTAGGAGAGGAGGATGTGACAATTGAGGCCAGCCTGCCACCTTTGCGCAGGCTTTTCAACCTCTTTCTCTGTTCTCATGTCCTGACATGACTCTCCCCTCCTCCCAGGTCTGCTGCGCTGGGAGAGCTAGGAGTGGCGTTTAACCGCTCTCACTCGGTATTGGATGTCGACTGTGGAGTCGTGCACAAAGTTTCTCGGAGAGAGATCTCTCCGGGAGGACTGAGTGTAAGCACGCATTTCTTTGCCGTCTGTAGGCTCCCTTTGTTTGGGGCTCGTTCCGACTTCGCTAACGGCACCTTGCACCCGCAGTAAACGCTTGCCTTTTGTCACCCTTTCCGAACACTAAGCCAAAGAGCAGTGCAGTGTCCTAGTGCGTGGCCAGGTTGCGCCGACCCGTATCTCTCTGAAGCCAACGCAAGCGCCTTTGCCCTTGCTCAAGCAACCGAGCCTTTGTCCCGGTGTCTCCAAGAATAACTTTTACAACGGAGACGTGCTCGTTGCACCCCTGTGTAGTACTTCTTGCCCGTGGCATGGATAAGCCTATTTGCTTTCCCGCCGCGCCTTTGCAATGGGATGACGATAGTTATAGCGCGAGAACAAAACGGTCGTGTCCTTCGTGTCCTTCTTGTGTCGGTGTCGTCGTTTTGTTCTCGCACTATAACTATCATCATGTCATAACAACTAGCCCAAGCTGCCACACTTCTAAATTTGCAATGGGCTCTGTACTGCATTTTGGTGTTGCCGCAGACAATAAAGTGTTGAAACCTTGGGCAGTATCGTGTTCTCACCACGACGAAGGTTAACGCGTGCCCTGCGGCTCGCTAAGACTGGACCAACGCTATTGGCCGTAATCCTTCGGGATATGTATACACTACAATGTTTATATCTTAAACATAGTCGTGGTACAAAACAAGGCTATGCAAATTACTATAAACCAATTAAATATTTGAAATCAGCATAAAAATTTATGTAATGAGCGAAAATTTCATTGGACTGTTCAACAGATGAAAAAAGATAGTGAGTTGAATCTCCCCTTGAAGGAAAGCACCTGCAGACAACTCACTTTTTATGTCAACTTTCTTGTATGATAACGGCGCACGTGGTTTACAAGGTGATGTTTTTGTGAAAAGGATGCATTGCAGTGGCCACAGGAGAATGGACGCTCTCCTGTGTGGCAACGCTTGTGCCTAATGAGGTTCGCCTTTTTTGAAAACGACGCACTGCAGTGGTCACAGGAAAATGGACGCTCCCCAGTGTGTGTGAGCATGTGACCCATGAGGCCACCTTGCTGTGAGAACGATGCACCCCATTGGTTACAGGAAAAGGGACGCTCTCCTGTGTGCGTGCGAAGGTGCCTTGTGAGATCACTGTCCCGAAAAAATGCAGCTGGGCACAAGTGGCACTGGAAGGGGCGCTCGCCTGTGTGTCTGTGAATGTGCTTTTTCATGTTTCCTTTGTCCTTGGTCACATAGCTGCACTGACGACACGAATGCAGTCTGCCATGTATGGACACGAGTGAATGGTACGCCTCACGGGACGCTGAAGACAAGGAACCTGCAAAAGCACAGAGACAAGAGGAAGGCAATGAAAACCATGGACAAGCATTGTCTGCAACTGCACTACAGCATGAGGGAATGAAGAAAGATTTTTGTACTTGTAGATGAAGTAGACAATCACCTTTGCATATGCGAGCTACATGCGACTGGAGCAATAACCGTGCTACAATGACATGGTTACAAGCACTTTCTACCTCTCTAAAAATAATATGTCTAATACATGCAAAAACCTCCAGTGAATGCACAGGAATGCAATTTCAATCTTACTTTTATACTATACCCCAATGACAAAGTTTATTTGTAATATGCTAATAGATTATGCACCCAGCCCAGTAAACATTTATTGTATTTTGTTTTCTTTTCCCATGAAAATATCGATAAAATACTGCACAGCAATCAAAGAACTTCATAATTCAATGCATGAAACATGAGAAATAAAATATGAGTGTACAAGGTTTACATTAAACAAACTTCAAAAAATATGAAAGAAGGGAAAACAAATCATTCAGAAGGGATAGAAATGGCATTACAATTTTGGTGGTTAGAAATGCTGCTGGCACATTTATGTGGAATGCACAATAAATAGGTTCTGCATACTCGCACAGTTTACATATTTCCGATAACTGTCTCTAAACTAGTACACTAGAGACCGCATAATGATTCTATATGACATAAGCAAGCTATGCAATGTTTCAGACACTTAACCAAAGAGACATATCAGCACAAATTCTTGTTTATCAGTCAACCGTGTAAAAATTCCGTTATCTCCGACAAAACATCTGTGTTGACCAAATGCAAACTCCCAATAATATGAAAAAAAAACCCTAATACTTCTAACATATACACATTCTTTTTCTTCATAAATTTGTAGACCCTCTACTTATTTCGCAAAAAATAGGAGAAAGAGTCGCAAGTTTTTTAATCCTGTAACTTTGTTCACAATGTGGCCAAGCTCAACGACCCCCCATTTTTAATAAGCCTGAAAGGTGTTCTGCACCATACCCATACCTACAGCCTCTGCCATTACCTATACCAAGTGCACAAGTCTATTCTGGAGGTGAAATGGCTGGCACTTTGCGTTCAGCACTCCACAATCACCAAAAAAGTTATCCAGGTTGAGATCAAATATGACTAAATTAAGAGAGCTTCGTGCCATAGAACAACACAGATTCAGGCCTCGAACAACTAACATGCTCGAATTATCAAGCTTTTACTGTACACTGAATGCAGACAATGACTATTACACTTATAATTATGACTGTCTTTATATACCAGGAAGGTCACACTTCCTTGGATACGTTAGAAAACAGTGCAATCAACTCAATGCACTGCTTCCATTTTAGGCATCGCTGAGAGAAAAGGCAAAGAAACATATGAATGATCAAATCAGGAATGGTGCAATGTTTGATGATAGATGAGAATGAGAAAGGTTTAAGCAAATATAAATGGTTGTAGCTCAGTGAGTGAAACTGTAAAAAAAATTAGTTTATGTGTCCATATCAAACATTTTGTTGACAAGAAAACATAATGCACACAAACACACGGACAAATGTTTGAGAGGGAAAAATGCATTAAAAAGTAACACCACGTTCCCACTGTATGCTTATATTCAACAGTGCAAAATCAAAGTGTCACTATTAAGTGTTGCCTTTATTAAGATACAAATTTCTTTCTCTCGGCACATGCGGATGTGTGAAGAAGTGCATGAATAAAATGCCTAAATCAACCAGTGCTTTCAAAGACAGGCAATACTGCTTTACGCTCACGATACATAAACACTGCAAGAAAATCAGTCATACACTTCTTTAAATATCAACTGACAAAACAATGCAAGGAACTCAATAGTCGGTTTCATTTGTTTCAATAAATCCTTCTTTGGAGCAGTCCACAGACATTGCCACGTCAATACCACAATCTCATGTTCACAGAATATTAAGCAGCAGCACAATCGCGAAATGGTAAATGACTTCCAGGAGGACACTGATGCGATGCCTTGCTGGCAATATCCAAAGCATGAAACTTCGTTTCTTCATAAATAGATGGACACATCTGCAAAAGCACACAGACAACTGTTAAAGCCAGCACAAAATATACAATACATTCAATATCAGCTAGGCTTCATGAAACTTTTTTAGTATTGTAATTTGGCGACTACTTTTTCAGTACCTGTTTGATTAGCTACCTATTTTTTGAAAAGACAACCTCTATACATAGTGCAATACAAATTTGAGCACTTGAATTGGAAGGTAAATGTCGTATTGAACTAGAGCTGCGCTGCGTTGCAGGTGCATACAAGATATGGAAGATTTAAATGTGCTGTGAACCAAACGAATGAGCTATGAGTCCATTCCCTTATCGTAGCACAAATTGTGGGTAGACTATAATAAACAGAGGCCCTGTGGTTAATAATGATCAGTGCATTATATGTTGATGCCAGAAAATCAAACGTGTAGAGAGTTACTTTTAAACATTGTGGGGCATTTAGAATGTGTCTTACTAGAGTCGTAGTGATAATGAAGTGCTGCGCTATGAAAAAAACACACATGTGAGAATTCAGCCAGGGAGTAAATACAATTTCATGCACTATATTTTCATATAACACTGTGCCTCTTTACTACAGAAACATGAAATGAGTATTCAGTGTCGTTACTGGAGTTTGCACGCCGAAAGAAGGAATGATCAGCCGAAATGTTGAAAAACAAATATCAGTGAAAATTAAAAGACAAGCAGGGTTGCAGAGGATCCAAAGAGAGACAGGCCAGATAGTGTTGAGTGCTGAAATATAAAGGTTGAGCGACAAAAAATATAAAGGCAATCTATTACATTCCACTGGTTTTTCTTAGTATTCAGGTTTAATGGAGTAAAGGCAACAAAGTGAATAGAGCACAAAGATAGAGTAAAATGTATACGCATTGGTGTGATCAATGACTATGGCCAAACGTAATGTGACTTTAAAAGGGCGTAAAATCCTGACTGCAAAACCTGCACAACTAAAAATAATAAAATCGTATTGATGCAATAAATGGTGCAACGTCTGTCTTTCTTGCCCATTCTTGATCCCTGTGAGAACATGAACGGCAAACATGTCCTATCAAGATGCATTTACTATGAGCACAGAAACCAAGAATGTTTGCATAAAAAACAGTGATCATTTGAACACCTTGATAGAAATTATTTGCTATCTTAATGCTTACTATCAACTAAGCTCTCTGTAATGGCAGTGGGCATGTGGTCAGCAGTGATGGTAGAATACATAATTAAAAAGAAGGAAGGCATATAGAACCACAGTAAAACATGGGCTAATAAAGAATGAAGTGGCTACTCATCAAGTGGCCTCGTGGTTGTAGGTACTAACAAACCAATAGCATGAAAATACAAGCGTTACTTATCCTCAGCTATAAGAGTAAGGCTGACACTAGTGTCTCAAGAACATGCACTAAAGTGTCTGCTGCTTAAGAATGGCCCCATGAAACAGGAAGCTGTCAGATAACATAAAACGTGATAGATTAAGTGGGATGTGTCTTCTATAACTATTGGCAAAGTAGGGGTTCACACTGTATCTATATTTGTATACATTCAATCAGAACATGCCAGACACGCCGGTTCTTAAAACTTTTCACAACACTATACAGGTGTCATATTGGGCACGAAACCATGTTAACAGTCGATAAGATTCGAAAAAAAAAGTTGCATTATTTGTAGCCTAGGGCAATAAAATATTTGCGGTATATACAGATTTTTATGCCAATAAAAAATACGTAAGAAGTTGTACAATAAGTTTCACAATTTTTATTTTAAACCATGACAATGTGTAAATTTCAGCTTTTTTTGAACAAACATTTTCTGCTACTAAACTTTTATGATTATGAGCCATTAATGGCCCATATTTCTTTACCTTAGCTGTAGAATGAAAATAATTATCAAAAAAAATGCGTATAAAAATTTTACTGGACAAAAAAATTGTAGTGTGAGAATTCGTAGAATCCTCAGTTCATTCTAACTTAAGGTTTAAAGAAAAGAAGTATACAATTAAAGGCTCCTTTTTATTTTTTGTTAGATACAATATTAAACAGATCTAACAGACAATCATGCCAGAAAGAGTGCACGGAATATTATATGAAATAATCGTAATATAAGTGTGAGAAAAAGAGGTGGATGAAAAGGAAACTTGCCGTGGACAGGAACCAAACCTGCCGCCTTGAAATGACGCATCCGATGCTCTACCAAATGAGCTAACACGGTGGCCATCCCTCCATTCCCTTTATTTGGTATATATATATGCATTAAGCGTGCCACTTGAATCAAACGTGAATTAAATGTGC